ATATGCAAAATCAATAGTAGATTAAAGCCCTAAAAGTGAAAAACAGAACTTTAAAAAATATCTTTATGTCCTTGAGATAGTGATTTCTTAAACAAGATAGAGAAAACACTTTGATTGATAAGTTGACTGTATTAAAACTGAAAGCTGCTTTTTAATGAAAACTAGCTTTAATAGAGTTAAAAAGACAAACCACAGATGAGAGAAGATATCTGCAAGGCATATAACTGATAAAAGGATTAGTATGTTGGATATATAAAGGATACCTATAAATCAATAAGAAAAAGATAATCCAGTTTTACAAATAAGAAAGGATATGGTGTAGATAGCATTATTGGCCCCAGTTCATCACCCCCTACCAACATTCACACACTTTGTGTATGACTTTGCAGTTCTTCTCACTAACAGACCAGAGGATATTTCTCCCTTTTGGCCATGTGATTTGCTTTGGTCTATTAGAATATGTGACAGTGTGGCAGTTACAAGCCTAAGCCTTAAGAGACCTCATGTATTTCCACTTGGTCTTTTATACTTCAGCTATTGTTGTGAGAGGAAATTGTCTGGGCTGGCCTACTAGTCCCAGGAGGAAGATGTAAGACCATGTAATAACACAGCCACTTAAGACAAGCTGCCCCATCCAACCCAAAGGCACTAAGCTAAATAAATACTATTGTATAACATTGTTTTTGTGGTTAGCTGTTATTCAGTGTTACTTGACAACATTGTAATGAGCGAGGAAATTCACTTAATCTTGGTCAACAAACATTAAAAGTTGTTCAGTCCATACAAATAAAAGCAATAGCATACCATTGCATATCCATAAGATTGGCAAAATGTAAAAGTCTGATAATATTAAGTGTTGGCAAAAATTGAGAAGTAGAAATTGATATATACCATTAGTGGGAGTGCACACCTAAAAAGTAGGTGACATGATTCTGGCCATTGAGTTGCAAGTGTCAGTCCCCTGGATGTGGCATCTGGAAGAACTATTTTTTTTTTCCTGATAAAAAAGAAGATAGACTGGGCTGGTAATTGCCTTTTGTCTTTTTGTCTTCTTCCTGCCAGGAATATGGCCATGAGACTGCAGATGGGGCACTCATCTTGCAGCATGAGGTGTTTTAATTTCATTACTTATATTTTTCATATATTAAATTCATTTGATTCCTCTTCAAACCTACCTCTTCTTTTTTTTTTCATTTTCTTATGGATAATAATAATAAAATAAAAGGAGAATAGATAAAATTTGTGAAGTACTTACTACATGCCAAACACTGTTTTGAGTGGTATATGTACATCAACTCATTCAATCCTCACAATAATCCTATGAAATAAGTGCTATTTTTGGTTCCACTTTACAGATAAGGAAACAGCAATGCAAAGGTTAAATACATTGCCCAGGTTCACACAGCTAGTTAAGTGATAGAGCTAGAATTCCAATCAAGCTACCTGGTTCTGGTGTCTGTGCTCATAACTATGTGCTAGTCTACATCACCTTTTATCTTTGATCATTTTAAACATACTTATTTAATAGCCTATTAGATTTTTGTACTATTTTTCTCAAATTCTTGGGGTTCTAATTCCCTGCTTGTTATGCCTGCTGATTCTTCTTTATGAAGAACAATTGCCTTGTGTCTTTTAATATTTTTGACTCATTCATTCAACAGCATTAATTAAGCAGCTATTGTTTGCTCAAGTGCTGTTCAAGGAGCTGGGAATATATAAGTAAACAAAACAGGCAAACTCTGCTCTTTTGGACCTTAAATTCTAGTAGGAGAAAACAAAGAGTAAGCGAGTAAGGGGACGGAGAGTGGGAGGAGGTACTTACATGGAATGGTAAAGGGGGCTTCCCTGGTGGTGCAGTGGTTAAGAATCCACCTGCCAATGCAGGGGACACGGGTTTGAGCCTTGGTCTGGGAAGATCCCACATGCCACGGAGCAACTAAGCGCGTGCACCACAACTACTGAGCCTGCGCTCTAGAGCCCGTGCTCCACAAAAAGAGAAGCCACCACAGTAAGCCTGTGCACTGCAACCGAAGAGTAGCCCCTGCTTGCCTCAACTAGAGAAAGCCCGCGCACAGCAACAAAGACCCAACGCAGCCAAAAATTAACTAATTAATTAATTTAAAAAGAATGGTAAAGGAAAGCCTTTATTTAAATTTATTTTAATTAATTAATTAACTTTTTAAAAAAGAACGGTAAAGGGAGAAGAAATCTTCTCCCTTCATTCTTCACCTGGCTAATGGTAAAGGATAAGGTGACATTTGAGCAGCGTCCTAGAAAATGTGAGAATGTGAGCTATGTGTATATCTGGAGGAAGCATTTCCAAGCAGAAGGCATAGCAAGTACAAGGCTGCATGACAGGAACATGCCTTGAATGTTTGGGAACAAGCAGAGGTCTTTGGAGCTGGAATGCAGTGTGTGAGGGGTAGAGCAAAAGAGATGTGGGCAGAGAGGTACCAGGAGGGGCAGGATGCAGATGGTGTAGGTCATGAGAAGAACTTTGGGGTTGGGTGGGGAACCTTTCTTTGGAGGGTTTTGTGCAGAGGGGTAACATGATTTCACTCGTGTTTCAGAAGCGTCACCATGGCTGCTGTATTCAGACTAGACTGAAGTTGCAAGGAGACTAAGGAGGCTGTTGATAATAGGTGATGGAGTGAAGTGTTAACAGCAGTAGCACAGAAGCGGTGGGATTGTGGATTTGTTTTGAAGGTAAAGCTGACAACACACAGTCAAAGATGACTCTTCATGTTTTTGGTCTAAGTAAGTGGAATGGAGTTACCATTTCCTGAGACGTATAGGACTGTAGGAAAGGCAGGTTTAAGGTGAGGATGAATGAAGCGTGGTTTGGGATCTGTTGAGCTCAGGATGCCTATTAAACATCTAAGTGGAGATGCAGATAAAGATAATTTGAGTCTGAGGTTCAGGGAAGAGGTCAGGGGCTAGATATGTAAAATGGTATTTAAAGCTATGAGACTGGATGGGCTCACCTAGGGAATGATGTAAGTAGAGGAGAGGTCTGAGCCCTGAGGCCTGGGACATACCAGCTGTAGGGGAGAAAAAATTTTCCTTGACCTTCTTCCGGGCTGTGTCTGAAAATCAAACTAACAGATTAGCAGGAGAAATGCATACAAATTTACTCCATATAAATTTTACATGACACAGAAGGCTGCATAAGGAAATGAAGGCCCGAAGAGACAGACCTGAGTATTTTTATGCTAGGCTTGGTGAAGAGTGGAGAGTCGTGGAAGAATGTGGTAGAATAAGGAGTAAGAGGTAAGGTTAGAAAACTGGGGCACACCCAGCAAAGCCTGTTTGTTCAGAGTCTTCTCAGCGTCCCTTTGTCTTCTGAGATAAGGAGGCTCCTTTCCTCTGGGTGTAGGGTGGACACCTCTCACCTGAGGGTTTTGTGATCTGCTGCAGTGGAAAAGGGAGGGGGTGTCAGAGTGACCTTCCTGCTTCTGCTGTTTACTCAGACTCCTTCAGTTCAAAATACTCAATATGCCAAGGTGCCATCTTGCGGGGGTAGCATGTCCTGAATCCCAAAGCACTTAGAGATTAGACAAGGAAGAGCCAGGAGAGGAGACTGAGGAGTGAGCAGTAGAACCATGAAGGAGTGGTGTCCTGGCAGCCAAGTAAGTGCAACAAGTGTTTGAAAGGATGAAAAGAGTGATCCACTGTGTCAGTAAAATGAGGACAAAGAAGTGACCATTGGATTTGACAACATGCAGGTTACTAATGATCTTTCAAAAAATGGGTTTTGATGGATGGGGATGGAAACCTGATTAGAATGGGAGAAGCGAAGATAGCAAATGAAAAAACCAAGACAAAAAACTCTTTCAATGAACTCTGTGTAAAGGGAGCAGAGAAATGGGGTAGTAGCCAGAAATAGATGTGAAATCACGGGGAGTTTTTAAGATAGGCCATATTAGACATCATGGTGGTACAATATTGGAAATGATCCACTCTGTACAGAGACGGGAATGACTGAGTTCAGTTTAAGCAGAGCTTATTTCCCACCTGGCCTGGGTTCTGAGAGCTTCCCTCCTGAGCAGTTTGGCATTTGCTTCTGCAAGGTGTCCCCACAGACACCACCAGCCCAGGACTAATCTCATGGTAATTTTTCAGTTTGAGGTTCCCCACACTAAGCAGGTAAAATAAATTTGGACTCCAGAACCTCACAAAGCACAACCTTGGGTTTGATATGTCACCTAGGGATTTTTTTCTTCCCAACTAAGGCCCTGAAAAGACAAACTTTCTTTGCCTTTTCCCTGGACTTCGGGGCAAAGTTTACTAGTCCTTTTTCATTACGGTTGAATCCTTAGAGAGTTCCAATTTCTGTTACTGATAAAAACCAGAGCCCATGTTGCTGCCCCAGCAGCTCAGCCATACAGTTTAAAGCTTTGGCAGTATTTTAGCCAGCATCTCGAGATTTGTGACAGCAAAGTTTCAGCACTTTCTAGACCACCATTTTGCTGGAATCAGAAACCTCCCTTCATTCACCTGGCTAATTCCTAGTCGCCTTTGAGGTCTCAGCTTAAATGTGACTTCTTGGAGAGGTATCCCTAACCCTCTCCATCCCAATCCAAACTAGTTCACCTTTCTATACTAAGAGCACGCTCCTTCTGTCTTAGCACTTAACTTGTCTTTTATAACTTCATATGAGTATTTGTTTCAAGCTGGTACCCGGCTAGATTAAAAACTACATGGAGGCAAGAATCAAGCCTGTTTAGTTCACCATATATAGCAGAAGGCCTGATTTATAGAAGATGCTCAATCAGGTTCAGTGACTGAACAAATAATTGTCTAAAAATCTAATAACTAACTAAGAGTAGAGTCTTACATGATATCCTGAAACCCATTATCTTCTAAGTCTTGGAGACGATATTCTCTAAGAAGAAAGTGTTTTTAGTGGAAAAGGGACAGAGGTTTCTGACTGTCATTTTACTTGACTCAGAAGCAGTGTTACTCCGATTTTGGTAACCACTGTTTCTTTTCCTCTTTAGAATGGAGATCTCCTCTCATCAGTCTCACCTCCTGCAACAACTGAATGAGCAGCGCAGGCAGGATGTATTTTGTGACTGCAGTATTCTGGTTGAAGGAAAGGTCTTTAAAGCCCATCGAAATGTATTATTTGCTAGTAGCGGCTACTTTAAAATGCTTCTTTCCCAGAACTCCAAGGAGACAAGTCAGCCAACCACAGCAACATTTCAGGCTTTCTCCCCTGACACTTTTACAGTTATCCTGGACTTTGTCTATTCCGGCAAGCTCTCTCTCACAGGTCAGAACGTCATAGAAGTGATGTCCGCTGCTAGCTTCCTTCAGATGACTGATGTCATTAGTGTATGTAAGACCTTTATTAAATCTTCATTAGATATTAGTGAAAAAGAAAAGGATCGCTATTTCAGCCTTTCGGATAAAAATGCCAGTTCTGATGGTATAGAACGCTCCTCTTTTTATAGCGGCGGCTGGCAAGATGAAAGCAGTTCTCCACATTCTCACCTAAGCCCAGATCAGGGAACAGGTATAAGTGGGAAATCTTGGAGTAAGTATAATTACCATCCAGCCTCCCAAAGGAATACTCAACAGCCTCTGGCCAAGCATGAACAAAGGAAAGATTCCATTAAAAAATCCAAACATTTGAGGTTGTCACAGCCTTCTGAAATGGCTCATTATAAGTCAAGCAAACGAGAAGCACGAACATCTGATTCTTCTAGCCACATTTCACAATCTGAAGAACAGGCACAAATGGATGCGGAAATGGACTCTACTCCTGTTGGCTATCAGTATGGTCAAGGATCTGATGTCACATCAAGAAGTTTTCCAGGTACCCAGAAAGAGAATCAGTCCCCTCAATCAGGTTCCAAGACTCTGATGTAAATCAATCCTATCTCAACATGCCCTTACTTTTAGGTGTTATGGGCAGTTGAAACAAGTGATTTTTTTAAAGTCATACTTCTCTAATGAAATCTATGCATAAAACACAAATTTTAAAAATTATAATACTGGATAAATTTAATGAAGTCAAAACAATAGAGTTCTGAGGGTCAGAAACCCATGAATTTTGAAACCTGCTTATCTGTGGGCAATTAGATTACTGTTAAATGTTTAAAGCTCTTTTGTAAAATGAGCTGTAAGGTTCAATCCTTAAGACACATATTTTCACTTTATTTTTTAAAATTTTATATTGGAGTATAGTTGATTAACAATGTTGTGTTAGTTTCAGGTGTACAGCACACTTTGCTGTACAGTTATACATCATATTCAGTTATACATCATATTTTCACTTTAAATATTTACTTTTTTTTTTTTTTTTTTTTTTGCGGTACGCGGGCCTCTCACTGCCGTGGCCTCTCCCGTTGCGGAGCACAGGCTCCGGACGCGCAGGCTCAGCAGCCATGGCTCACGGGCCCAGCCACTCCGCGGCATGTGGGATCTTCCCAGACCGGGGCACGAACCCGTGTCCGCTGCATCGGCAGGCAGACTCTCAACCACTGCGCCACCAGCGAAGCCCTACATTTTTTTCTGAGTATTCACTCAGGAGCAGTATTTTTATACAGAAAAGTTAAATAGAGCAACCATACATATTGGTAAAGGTTCACAGACCCAGTATCGAAAAGAAATTAAACTAAATCTGATTTTATTAAGATATAAATACATAATTTTTAAAAACTTAACTAATACAACATATAATATTGATACTGTATCTCTGCACCACCATGAGGCATCTCATTTTTATGATAGTAGTAAAATGCAGAGATATTATTGGAGGCTGATAGTTTCAAAGTAGAGAACAGAGATTAGAAGTGTATATCATCCAGTTCCCCCCACCAATTAATCAGTTAGCAAATTTGCTTAATAGTTTACATGTGAATTTAAAGGAAAATTATGATAAAATTAAACTCTTGCAGAGTATAAGATTTAGATGACAATTATACTCCAATAAGGATGTTAAAAAAAGATTTAGATGATATATTTTAGTTTTTTAATTTTAGAAAAATTCCAAGTATATATAAAAGTAGTCTAATTAACCGCCATGCACCGGTTACCCAGTCCCACTCATGACCAGTCTTGTTTCATCTGTACCTCTGCCCCGACCACTCCCATTTTTAAGCAGATCTCAGACATCATATGTTTTCATGTGTAAATATTTCAGAATGTGCCCCTAAAATATAGTCTTAGGAAAAAAACTACAATACCATTATTATCATACCTAAACAAAATTAACAAGTCCTTAATATCACTAAAAACCAATCAATATTCACATTTCCCTGGTTGTCATGTGAATTATAGAAAATAATTTGGTTATAGATAACATATTTAAAAATAGGCAACCTGATTGATTTTTACTAATCACATTTTCCTGTAGGATACTAACATGAAAATACATGAAACTGTATTATAAAGCTTTCTGAAAATGCTGAGGCACTCTACTATTGACCGAGGCAGACAGAAATAACAGAGCAAAAATGGGAAATCTCTGTTGCATTTTAAAACAGCAACAAAGTTATCCTTTTTTGGGCTTTGCACTTTTGTAACTCTAGGTTATTTAAATCTAACTTCAATAATGAACAGCTGAACTTAACTGCTGTTAAACTGAGAAGGTTTGCCTCCAACCACAACTAACATTTTGAATATGTGTGAGTTTTAAAACAAACGATTACAGATCCTTGACACTTTTTAACCTTTAAAAGAAAAGCAGTACAGCTGTATGAAAAGTAAGAACAAGGGGGTTCAGACATCTGGTGTGTGTGCTTGGCTGCGGAGCCAATGGGGAGAAGCTATCATCTGTGGGATTATGACTGAATGCCTGCGAGTCAGATTCCTGCCCAGGTGGAACGATTAAAAAAATTTTTTTAAAGAAAAGTTAAGAGCGAGGGGTGGGGGGGTGATAAACCCATGTAAATAAAACAAGTTACTTAAAAGCGTAAAGACCCTGGATTTTGTCTGTATTTTTAAAATCTAGTACTACTGCTTTACTTAAATCTAGTGACTCTATGCCATTAAATAAAAAGATGAGTGGGACAGTCTAAGTCTACCCAGACTTTGTAAATATATCAAATCCTGAAGGTACGGTTCTATACTTAGGATTACACTGACAATCTAGTCTTTATAAAATTTCTTCCTTCTTGTTGCCTACCTTTCCGAGATTGGACTCTCCAGCCCCTTTTGGATTCTTGATGTTATCAGAACGGTGATTATGAATTTTCCGGTGACTTAATCAAACTGTCTCTTGACAGATGACCTGCCCAGGATGAGGTTCAAGTGCCCGTACTGCACACATGTGGTGAAGCGGAAGGCAGACCTCAAGCGCCACCTTCGTTGTCACACAGGAGAAAGGCCCTATCCCTGTCAAGCTTGTGGGAAAAGATTTAGCCGGCTAGACCATCTAAGTAGCCATTTTCGAACAGTATGTATATGATTTTTCATCATTTTACTTTTTAGGAAATACATGCATTTATCTGCTTTAGGATAATCTAGTTCACTGAGGAAAATCTTTTCACACAACTCTGCAACATTAAACAATTTTTCCAATTTAATGTTTTAGTTTGCACATAATGCATAATTTTATATATTTTAAAATTTTATTTATTTGTTTTTTTATTTTTGGCTGTGTTGGGTCTTTTGTTGCTGCACATGGGCTTTCTCTAGTTGCGGCGAGCGGGGGCTACTCTTTGCAGTGCGCGCTTCTCATCGTCGTGGCTTCTCTTGTGGAGCACGGGCTCTAGAGCGCAGGCTCAGTAGTTGTGGTGCACGGGCTTAGCTGCTCCACAGCATGTGGGATCTTCCCAGGCCAGTGCTCAAACCCTTGTCCCTTGCATTGGCAGGCAGATTCTTAACCACTGTGCCACCAGGGAAGCCCCATATTTTTTAAAATAGGTTTTTTTTTTCTCCTCTGAAACCTTGAGATAAGAGATATTCTTTTGAATATCCATTTCAATTCACTTAAAATCTATTATTTTTATATCCCGGTTTTTTCAGAGCCAAAGACAATGTAAACTTTTAAAATGTTTAAAACTTTTTAAATGTCTGTGTCAGAATCACCACTTCAGATATTAAGCATCTGCTAATGATTCTTGAATCCTTATCTGGTAGGTTGTCAGTCTAGTTTCTGCTGTCTGACCTCTCTCCACTACAGCCTCTTTCTAGTGTCTCTCCAGTTTCTCTGGTCTCCTGAAGGAATGGAGTGAGGTGGGCAATAGGGCGACTCAATCAAGGACTGGACTGTCAGCAGTCAGAAAAATCTCAGGGAATTTTCTGTTCAGTGCTCTGTTGGTTTAATAAGGTACTGATGGGACTTCCCTGGTGGCGCAGTGGTTAAGAATCCGCCTGCCAGTGCAGGGGACACGGGTTTGAGCCCTGGTCTGGGAAGATCCCACATGCCATGCCGCGGAGCAACTGAGCCTGCACTCTGGAGCCCGCAAGCCACAACTAACTGAAGCCCGCGGGCCTAGAGCCTGTGGTTTGCAACAAGAGAAGCCACTGCAATGAAAAGCCCATGCACTGCAACGAAGAGTAGCCCCTGCTCTCCACAACTAGAGAAAGCCCGCACACAGCAATGAAAACCCAACACAGCCAAAAATAAATAAATAAAAAAAAAAAAAAAATAAGGTAGTGACATTGGAATTATTCTGTTCATCTTGCAGCAAAAATTTTTTCTAAAATTGATGTTCTATTACCCATACTTTTATTCCATTTATATGAGCTCCTTTTAATTTGGAAGGGTAATGGTCACTTGATGAATTGCTTTCTAGGTATTCATCCAACAAATATATATTGAGCACCTACTACGTGCCAGACCCTTTTCTAAGAGCTAGGTATACGGCAGTGAGCAAAACAAACTCTGCCTTCATTAATCTCTGAAGCTAGATTTTTAAAAATTAAAATAACCTTTTATTATTACAAAAGCAATAAGTATGCATTATAAAAACTACAAAAATAGATGTAAGAATAAGAAAATAAAAATACCATATTTTTACCACCCAGATATTACTATTCTTAACACTTTATCATGTGCATTTATTTTTTTTAACCAAAATGATATCATACTGTATATGCTATTTTGTAACCTGCTTTCTTTTTTTTTTTAGATTTATTTATTTTATTCATTTATTTTTGGCTGCATTGGGTCTTTGTTGGTGCATGTGGGCTTTCTCTTGTTGCGGCGAGCAGGGACTACTCTTCCTTGTGGTGCGCAGTCTTCTCATTGTGGTGGCTTCTCTTGTTGCAGAGCACGGGCTCTAGGCGTGCGGGCTTCAGTAGTTGTGGCACATGGGCTCAGTAGTTGTGGCTCGTGGGCTCTAGAGTGCAGGATCAGTAGCTGTGGGCTCAGTTGCTCTGCGGTATGTGGGATCTTCCCAGACCAGGGCTCAAATCCGTGTCCCCTGCATTAGCAGGCGGATTCTTAACCACTGCACCACCAGGGAAGCCCCTGTAACCTGCTTTCTTTAGTGAATAATCTCTACATTTCCGTCTCAATAAAATTTTATGTGTTGCACAGTTCAAATTTACCTATAGTTTCCTAAAATACCACTTATAGTTGGTGTGTCCAAGCCAGAATCCAATCCAGAACTCATCTCATTGTTAGATCCCTTAAATATGTTTTTGAGCTAGCATAGTTCCCTACCCGTTTTACAAAATATCCTACCTCTGGATTTCTCTGCTTGCTTCTACATGGTGTCATTTTTAGCTTGTTCTTTTATTCCCCCCCTGCATTTTCCGAAAACTAGAAGTTTTATCTAAAGGCTTAATGGCTTCAAGTTAAATACTTTCATCAAAGACAAAATTGTATGTTTCATATTATGTCACATTAGGAGGCACATCATATCTGGTGGACCCATCATTCATGTTGTTACAATTGATCACTGGATTAGGGTGATACTATGATCCCACCATTGCATTGTAATTAGAAAGGAATCTCTGTGTAACTATTTTGGTATTATATGACTATCCATTTCCCCATGAACTATTCATTTAATAGTATTAATACCAATTGGTAATCTCTGTCCAAATTATTAATTTTACTTGGAGTTGTGGAATGAGTTACTAATATTATCCTTCCTTCTATATTATTAGCTGGAATTCTATAAAGTAAAGCTTTCCTTCATCACTTGGGGCTATTTGGTTACTTTGAAATAGGGTTCCTGCAGGAGAAGCAAGATAAATGTTCAATTATTTCCCTTTAACTACCAATTTTCAAAGTAAAGAGTGATTTAATAGTAGCCTCAAATGGTATATGAGTTTTTTCTGGCTTTGTTTTTTTAAATAGCATATGTTCTCATGAATTTTCATTGGTTCATTATGTTTGGATCCATAACAATTATTATTTTTTTGATACTCAAAATTTCAAATTTGTGCAGTGGGGACCTTTGAAGCTGGCTCTTGTGTCCTTTTGTCACAACTCCATTAAATTTTCAGTGCCCTTGTTCTCTGGCTCCAAAAGAGCCCTAGGCTCATCTTGTACTTCCCCTGCCACAAAACTGGAATCAGCCATTTCTCAAAGGAGCTTTGGTACCTCTTAGCGGGGAATGAAATTAGAAACCAAAATTTGGACACCCAGGGTGCTCATTGTTATTAGGGTATCCTTTTTAGATTGTTTCTGAGCTAGAAGGTATATATTTTTAAAATAATGAGTTCATGATGATATTTTCAGTTTTAACATTACAGTGTTTCACTTAATTTCTTTGTCTTCATAATTGTATTGGATTTGGAGGGGGATGAACATGAATCTGTGTCAGAACTTTGTAATAAAAACAATGCCACATAGGATAACCATAATACTGATTCTATCACAGGAGAAATAAAGGTGCACTCAAATTATGTACTTTCAACATTTACTGATTAATATGTCAGTGGTTAAGCAGAAGATAATAACTGTACTGAGTGGTAGTCCCATACGTTTTCTTAGATACTTTACCAGACTGCTTTAGTTCTCTTGGGTTTTTTGACTATTTGCGTTTGGTGGCCCACTTTCATACCATTCTGACATTATCTAAATGAATATGCCATAAACATTAATTCAGCATATATAGTTAATTATATGTAATAATTTTTAGATTAGAATCTATAATCTATTGCTCTGACAGCTACTGAACAAAGTTACTAACTATAATACACAATTATTCATCAATTACAACTTCTTCCCGAAGCATTTCACACATATTAACTCATTTGGTCCACACAACCTGAGTTGTATCTCTATTAGTAATAACGGAGCAGTTAGGAATAATAATAGACTGATATGTAGCAGAACCACCATAGTGGTTGTTTATAACCAGTGTGCATTCTGATAGTCAGGCTTCTATTCTGTTTGGGTGGTGCCCATACCTTACCAGTTGTTAAATATTTTGACAGTCACCCTGGAAGCAGGTTTATGTTTTAAGTTACTTGCTTAAAGATAACATGGTAAGTAAATGACAAAAGCAGGACTAGAACCCAAGCTTTCCAATTCCTAGTCCAGTCTTCTTTCTATTAGATCTTTCATTAATAAAAGTGGCAATAATCTTTATATTGAAAAATATTTTTTGATAAATTTAAATTTGGGACAATATTTTTTCTTTCTCTAGCAAAATAACAAAATATTAGTATTCAAATGAAATGAGTTTTTTCCCCTGAATTAAGATATGTAAAGTCCTTAGAAAAGTATATGGCAGATATTAAGTGTTTGCAATAATTTTGTATTATTCTGGGAATGTGTCCCTTGTTACCTCAGATATAAAAATATGATTGGATTAAGGGATATGTGAAATTAATAAGTATGTAATATTAATCATAAAAACATAATAGACATTATTTAGATAAAGCTGGTATTTAATATTTCTGTGACATTAATTTATCACCAAAACCTGTGATTTTTTTCTAATAACTAGATGTTAATTTATTACTAATGCTTGGCTTTGAACATTTTAAATTTATGAATTGGTACTTAGAATATCAAACTGTTCTGCTTTTGAAAAATCTTTTCTTATCACTATTTAAATCTCTACACAGATTCACCAGGCATGCAAACTCATCTGCAGAAAATGCAAACGCCATGTGACTGATCTAACAGGTCAAGTGGTACAGGAAGGAACCAGGCGCTACAGACTCTGTAATGAGTGCCTTGCTGAAGTTGGCATAGACAGCCTCCCCATTGATTTGGAAGCTGAACAGCATCTTATGTCCCCATCAGATGGAGATAAGGATTCCAGATGGCACTTGGGTGAAGATGAGAATAGATCATACGTGGAGATTGTAGAGGATGGGTCTGCTGATCTGGTCATACAACAGGTTGATGATAGTGAAGAAGAAGAAGAAAAGGAAATAAAGCCCAATATCAGGTAGCTGGGATGTGAACCAACAGATCTGGCATGTCTGCAACTTACATTGACTTCCCATAACTCTCTCTTTCCACAGTCAGAGTCTGGTTAACAAATTATCAGACTGACTTGAAAGTAATGACCTGATATCACTTGCATGCTTTCTGAACAGGCCATTGTATCCATTCTGAACTTTGTTGCCCTAAAATCTGTTGCTGCACTGGAAAGAAAGACCTAGCTTGAGTTGGCATGATGGATGAACAATTAATCCTCTTACTTTTATTACAGAGATACCTTTTTTTTTTAATATTGGAAGATCTACTTAGTGAACTTTTTCAAAGAAAATATTTTAAATAAATTCACCACAACCAAACTGTATACAAGATAATTTCAAGGTGTTTCAAAAACATATAAACTACCACTATTGAATTTTCACAGGGAACCAGGTAAGAGCACATTTAAGTGTCTGGCACCCTACCTGACTAAACTAATTAGTCCATTACCTTCAGACCGAAAATGACCTATCATTATTCCAATATCCTAAATGTTTTATAATTATGGCAGAAAACAAACCTAAACTGTTTGAAATCATTCATATTTGAAACTTTTGTCATTAAGTTAAAAATTACTCTTATGTAGTCAGTGTTTTAAAAGAACAAACTCTAAAATAGAAGCTGACCAGAGATTATATACAGACATCATTTTCTTAAAGCAGGAAACTAATACTGTCAAGGTAGTTTTTTGAGGATCTGTCTATATAGCTCTCTTCCGCTCTAGAGAAAAAAAGAAAACTGGAGGTTCTTACCGGTTCTTAAGATTAATTTCCTCCATTTATATACTACTATATTACTTATAAAGTGCGCTTTCACACACCTCCCCACCTAATCAGCAAGGTAAATAGTATTGTCTCTGATTTACAAATGAGGAAATTAAGGTCAGAAAGTTTAAGTGGTGGGACTGGTGACTGGACAGGTTTTGATTTTAAACAGTCCTCTTTCAACTGTCTCTCCCTGGATAATCCCCTGAAATGGTGAAGAAGTGAAGTCAAACCTCACCAATCTGCAATTATTATAAAAAGAAGCCTGTAAGAATTAGAAAGTATGAAAGAAGAGGAATTTAATCATCTTCAACAACATATAATATCTTGAACTAGAGTTATTCAAGGAGTGCTAAGTAATGTCCCTATAGTACCTACTGACATGTTTTTGTTATTTATATATAAATTTTATATATAAAACTATTTGAACACATTATTCTCCTAAGTTCTTTAAGCAGTTTATATAATTTATATATAATTCTTCAAAACAAACTTTTCTACTACAATACAAAATTAAGTTTTAACTCCTCCCCTATATGAATTATGAAACATTCCAAAATTACAGTCAAATTGGAGATGCATTATTTTAGTTGTAAAGATAAAATCTAAATACTAGAAGTAAAGAACTGTTCATAAAGGTCTTGGCAAGTTATCCCAATTAAGCTTGTTTTAATTTTGATAGAGGCTCCATGTATTATACTGTATTTTTAACTGCCATGACATACCTCAAGATACTTTTTATGTTATTTTCTCTTATTCTTTAATTAATGATTGTCCTTAATACCAGTTTGTGGGCCAAAATGATTAATTTCTTTAAGTTTTTTTTTATAAATAGATGAATAACCACTTTGTTTTATGGTACCTAATTCTGAGATTTTTTTCAAGATTCCCCTGATGGTAAGTTTCCAATTGCTTCAAGACCGGATAGTGTGCATTGAGTTCATTGTCTCCCAACATGACCATTCCTGAGTCAGGAGTCTTAACAATTACATTGTTCCAAATGAGGGAGGGAACACTTGTCATTCTTTAGTCTCACCAGAGGATGATAACATCTTTCAAAATTGTAATCTGATTTTTAATCATTGGAACCAATAGGAAAAATGACTGACTTGAGCTTTATTTATAGAAATGAAGTTGTGCTTGCATGTGTATACTCTAACGCACTTTAGTCTATGATCTAAATGTTCTTTGATGCTACTATATTCTGCATGCAAACATCAGCATGATTGTCAGCAAGGTCCACTGAACAGTGCCACCAGGACTTGTAGAGCCTTATCAGAAATAATGCTTTCTCATAATTGTTTATAACAAGCATCAAGCAATCCCCACAAAACAGCTATCAAATTCACCAAACTAGACAGTGCACCTGTTCTATCATTTTAGTATCATAAAAGTACATGACATGTTTTTAAGTTGTAAATAATAACTCCAGTATCATATCATATTTATCTAAGACTTTAGAGACCAATTCTTTTCTAGAGTGAAACTGTCTATTAATGGTTTCTAAGAAAACTGAATTCTTTGGCTCTTAAATGTGGGAAAATATTACAGGAGTATAATCTGTTAAGATAAGCTTTATTTGTGCCTTTTTTTTTTTTTTTTTTTGGGTTTTTTGCTGTCCTCGGGCCTCTCACTGTTGTGGCCTCTCCCATTGCGGAGCACAGGCTCCGGATGCGCAGGCTCAGTGGCCATGGCTCACGG